ATCTGATGTAAAATGTATAGAAATCATACATATACCAACAAGACTGTACATCACTGTCACAACAGCGTTTTCATTCAAAGGCTTTATGGCTTTAATACCTGGGGGGCCGGTCTCGAGTCAAAATGCTGATTTTTTGTCCCAGTCCAGCCCTGCGCACGACGCAGTGCATTTTTAATGCAGTTCATTAAAAAATAAATGGCCGGGTCAGCGGTGCACATCGCAGATCAGCTCACAGACACATTAGTTGTTCCTCTTCTTAATGACGGTATCTTAGCAACCCCAACTACCAGATTCAACTTGTAATTGGCTAAAAAATAACTTAGCCTACCGGTGAGAGGGACGTTGCTAGCTGGCAGTTTTTTCAAGCGATGTTGAAATTTCCACATTCAGACACTTCAAATGCTTCAGCAGCTCAGCGCAGCATCGTCACCACGGAAATACACGGAAACATCCGAAGACTGGAGACTGATCAAACCAGAAGCTTTAATGAGCAGCTGGTTTGCCTCGCATTAACTGGCTGGGTTAATACCAGTTAATGCGACACTCATCATCAGAGAGGTTGCTGACCCCTGCTTTAAATAAAAGGCAGGACGGATCCATACTTTTGTTCATGCCAAATTCTGATCCCGTCATGTGAATAGTAGCGAAATTTGAGACGTGTTCTCAGCAACATTTTCACATGTGCTCTGTGTAAACTGCAGGTGGACTAAATGCATTTAGAGATGCGCTTCTGCACGCCGTGGTTCAAACAGAACTTCTGCAGGTTTGCTTAATGACGTCTACATTCCTGAATTTATTGAATTGCTGCCATGTGATTGGCTGATTGGATATGCGTTGGCAAGCAGTTGCACAGGTTTACTCAGTGGCTGGGTTTACTGAATAACGTAGCCGGTGTTTGTGATTCTGTTTTTGGGGATTCGTGCAGAAGACATTTAATGTTCCACCTGCACAGGTTCTGTGGTGATGAGTCACAGCGATCCGTCCTCTACAACCTCTGTGGACAAGCATTCAAAGGTCGTGTTTGCGATGTACTGGCCTCTATCAAAACAACCTCGCTGAGCTCAGGCGCTGACCGTCACCTCACTAGCTTAAATCGCTACTTTATGGGCTCAAAATGTGGTCATAAATATTTTGTACTTGTAAATTAGCATTTGTATGTGTAAAAAGAATGTGTGTGTGTAAAACAGATTTGTGTGTGGAAAAACCCTGTAAGTTACAAGTACGAATTTTGACCCTATTTTTCTTCCTTTCATCTGATTGGTCAATGTCATGTCAATCACAAATGTAACAATCCAATCAGAGAACAGATGGGTTTGG